TACTTCATCACAAGGGAAATTAGTCAAGCACTCTGAAAGTGTTTTCACTCTTAATGTGGTGTACAGGGAGATATTAGAATAAGTTTAATCACTTTATCAGTCATTGTTTGCATCACTGTTGTTTTTATATCACGTGTTTGTTGGTTTTATATTATGCCTCTGTTGTTATATCCTTTTGCTACTGTTTATTTATTAATAAATTTATATATTATTTTCATATACATTTTACCAATTTCCTTTCATCTCTCACACTTCTATTATAGAGAAAGGGCAAACAGCAATATTAATATATTTCCGCTAATTAATTCCCTTTTAATGTGCACGAATTTCGTGCACCGGGCTACTAGTTATAAATAAAGATGATACAAATATTTGTGGACTGGTTTTTATGTGCATATAATCTTTTATTTCTCTAGTATAAATGCCCACAAGTGCAATTGCTAGGTTGTATGGCAGTTACATATTTAGTCTTTTAAGAAACTGCCAAACTATTTTCCAGATTGGCTACACCATTTTACATTTCCACCAGCAATGTTTTAGTGAATTAGTTTTTCCACATTGAATTTTAGTGATGTGAATTATAATTGGTGGCTGGTAGCCCAATGTGAATCAAGCATTACTGCTTACTTTACCCTTCTTAGTCACTTATGAAAGCCTTGGGACATCTAGGACAGACAGGAAGAAGTACCTTATGAGGCTATCTTCAGTGACATCTTTATCCCTGCCTCATACCCCAAACTATATGAATGTTCAGTGATGGTACAGTCCTCAATGCATCACAGGCACTCAGTATCTATTAACTGACCAAATGTGTATTACACATCTCCTCTCAAATTCTTTTTAATTTAATGTTAAAAGTTATATGTAAATGCCTTCTTAGAGTTTCCAGCCTCTCTTTTCTCATACATAAGACATCTCTTAAACCAGTAAGTGATAACATAGTTGAATGGGAATGGATTCTCACATTTAAATCACCAAGTAAATGTTGTACAAACATGGGCTACAAAATAACAAAACAAGCATTTTCACTTTTTCTTTTTATATGTCTTCCCTTGGCCAGATGGAATTATCTACTGACATTGGACTTCAATACAAAGGAGAGCTGACAGTTGTTTTACGATATATTCCCCCAGATGAATACCTGATGTTCCCACCAGGACAACTTCAAGGTAAAGTAAAAATAAATGCCTTTAATCAAGAACATTTTGTTCTAGAAGTGTGAGAATAGGGATCAGAGATTCTTTGGACTATGTTACTTTTGCATTACACACATGAAATGTAAAGGGTTAGGTGTCACTGGCTTTTGAGGAGAGTTGAGATGTACTATATATGGAGAAGGGTATGGGATTCTAAGTTCATACATAGAAACCAGTCTTAATGGCAACATTTGTTTCTGTGAAGTCCCAGAGATATAGGATCTTCCCTGGGGGGGGGGGGTTGTCTGCAGAGAGGGGAGGTATAGATAGCTGCTGTATGGCTTAATGACATTCACAGCTACCCAGCAAGTCTTGAGGAAGTGCTGATCTAGAACACAGAATATAAAGGAAAAATCCAGATGGAGTCAACTTTTAAATCCCTCTTGCTTTTCTCCTTCCATCAACTCCTATAGGCAGTCTCCTCTATCCTTCCATTCATTATCACTCTCTTCATTGTGACCCTGTGTAAGTAACTTACTATATCTCGGCCTCAGTTTCCTTAACTTCATAAGGACATTGCAAGGATTAAATACAGTGGGGCCTTGACTTACGAGTTTAATTCGTTCCGTGACGGAGCTCGTAACTCAAATTACTCGTATGTCAAATCAAAAAGTGAACGAGTGAGACATGTGATGCTGGGCTGATGTTGTGGCGTTCACTGTGACGTTCGCTGTGCCAACTAGCAGTGGGGTATCTGAAGCTGGCTCATAACCCAAATTTTAGCTCGCAACTCAAAGCAAAAAATTGGCCGAGAGACGGCTCCTATCTCAAAAAACTCGTTAGTTGGGACACTCGCAAGTCAAGGCCCCACTGTAGGTTCATTTATGAAACTGCTTAAAACTGTACTAAATAAAGGTGGTGGTGGTTATTATTCATGTTGAGCACATTTCATTATAATAGAAACTAGAGCCCTAGTGCACGAATTCGTGCACCGGTGCGATCCCTCGGTCTGGCTGGTGATCGAGGCCTATTGGAGGGCCGGCCAGGGTGAGGGGCCATGGGAGGTTGGCCAGCTGGGGGGAGGGGCCACAGAAGGTTGGCTGGTGGGGAGGGTGGAGAGGCCACGGGAGGTTGGCCAGCCAGGGGGAAGGGCCACAGGAGGTTGGCTGGCTTGGGGGAGGGGCTGCAAGAGTTTGGCCGGCCAGGAAGAGGGGTCATGGGAGGTTGGCCGACCAGCCCCCCATTCGGGTTCAATCAGGGGGGTCAGCCAGCCAGGAGGCTGGGTTGTGGGAGGTTGGCTGGCTGGGGGGAGGGGCCATGGGAGGTTGACTGTGGGAGTTCACTGACCACCAGGGGGCAGCTCCTGCATTGAGTGTCTGCCCCTTGGTGGTCAGTGCATGTCATAGTGACTGGTCGACCAGTCATTCCAGTCGTTCTGGTCGTTTGGTCTTAACGGTCGCTTAGGCTTTAATATTTATAGATGGGATGTAGAAAGAGTGTTCTTTCACTCAAAAATATAATTGTGCCTGGGCTATAGCCCTTATAAAGAACTGGCCCTGCATGGAGATGACAATTTACAAGACTAAAATTTCAAAGAAGAGAGTTATGGAATTTTCTCTTTTAGAGTCTTGATGCTTGTGTGTGGTTTTCATTGTAGTTATTTTCCAATGAGAGCAGGAATGTGGCTCAGGCAACTCTAAGGATCATTTGCATTTTATTCTTTTATAGTCTGTGAAAAGATACTTTGCAGGGTAGTACTTAAAGTTTTAAATTTATTTGTTTATTTTTCCCAACAAACACAAATGAAAGACCTATCTAGATGAAATCCAACAGAGTAAAAATAAATTAAATCAATACATGGAAAAATATACAATAATATTAAGATATCTGTTCCATACTTAAGTCTGCAATCTGAAATATTATTGTTATTAATGTGAAACTGTAGCTTTGGAAAATTCAATATTTGTGGTCACTGTGTCAAAATACAATCCACCTTAGCTTAAATTCATATATAGTTGGAAAGTGATACAGAACCTCAAATGAAGTTTTCCCCCAAAGAAGATGATGTATCTTTCTGGGGGATTTCCTCGCAAACCCTGGAAGGCCTTAGAATCATAGCATAAAATTTATTTCCCCTCCCCAGCATTATTGAGATGTAATTGATAAAAATACTGTCTGACCTCACTTATATGTGAAATCTAAAAAAAGTCAAACTCATAGGAGCAGAGTGTAAACCAGTGGTAACCCGGGGCTTGGGCAAGGGGAGAATGGGGAGAAGTTGCTCAAAGGGTACACACTTTCACTTTAGGGCAGAATAAGTTCTGGAGAGCTAATGTACAGCATGGTATCTATACCTAATGGTATTATATTGTATATTTGAAATTGGCTAAAAGAGTAAATCTTAAGTGTTCTCACCAAACCTAATAAAAAGGTAACTATGTGTTAAGGCCTGATTCAATTAACAAATGAAATAAATCTTAGTATTTTTTAGTAAATTTTTAAATCGAAC